CGCATATGTATACTCAGTGATTCAATGAGTATGATCCGGAGGGTTCAGGCAGGTTCAGTGCGAAGACAATGGCTTGAATCAATTCAGAAGTCCACTGTGCGAGGAGTCACCTTTATTTTTGTTCCGGGACACGCAGGCGTCGATGGAAATGAAAGAGCTGACAGGTTGGCTGGATCCGCTATCACTACCGACGGTCGGCCTATGGATCATGCTGATATTATCAATGCCCTCATGTCGCGTGCGAATGTGCACCAGAACGCACCAGTACGGAGTGAGCAAATAAGACGTCAAAACAATACGTAACGTTGTTATGATTTATTGTTGTAAAAGCAGTTGATGTTTATAGTCCGAAGGAGACGGACGTGGGAATCCCTGAGGACGCTTTACCCCGGGATCCCACGGAAGCAAACGTTATATAAAGTTGGATCCTTGAGGACGTTTTACCCCGGGACTCCAAGACCTCAGCAGGAAGCTGGTGAGCACTACATTCTCGGCAGCAAGCCGGTATACTTTCATTGCTTAATTCGGACTTGTCCGAGGAGAAAGTAAATCGTCTGGATCTCAAGGTCGGACTGCGACCTATCGTAAGGACATAACCGTCCACGGATGTACGAGTGAGCTTTGGTTGAACGAGTTGATTATTGATTGCATATGTATTTCTCCTTGTATTGCTGATCGTATATATCAATACAACCATTGGAACTTAACGCATAGCGTTCGAGCTCTACATTTTGAAAGCATTGAAGTAACTACTGTTTTACCCCTACTTGGCCTATTTCATCTTGGTACCACACACTCAGCATGAAGCTCTGCACGTCACAATGAAGGTCCGCACGTATCAATGGGGGCCAAGCCGGGATGCCGTGGATAAGGAAATCGATAACATGATTAAGTGGGGTATAATTGAACCGTCGACATCACCCTATGCTTTTCCAATAGTGGTTGTCCGAAAGAAAGATGGAAGCCTTCGGATCTGCATAGATTTCCGAAAATTGAATCGAATCACGGTTGTAGATGCTGAAAATATCCCAAATATGGAAGATATGTTTGTTGCATTGTCGAAGGCTAGGTATTTTACAAAGTTAGATCTTACCAAGGGTTATTGGCAGATTCCCTTAGACAAGGATTCCAAAAAATACACCGCGTTTCAGACGAACAAAGGTTTGGTTCACTTCAACTATATGGTCTTCGGGCTTTCCGGAGCACCGGCGACGTTCACCCCGCCTCGTACGCAAGTTGTTACAGGGTCGTAATGATGTTATTCATTATCTGGATGACATTCTGCTATTCCATAATGATTTAGACGAACATATTCGAGGTCTAAAGACATTACTGGAACGCATAAAATTGTTTAATCTGACAGTTAGACCAACTAAAGTGAAGGTCGCTTTCGAGGAGGTCACGTTCCTCGGTCATGTTGTAGGACACGGGGTCCGTAAACCCGAAGCCACCACGGTGGGTAAGATTCTTAACATTCCTATACCAAAAACGAAGAAACAAGTGCGTGCGTTATTGGGTTTATGTAACTTTTATGCCAAATTCATTCCTAACTATTCAACCATTACAGCCGTGTTGTCCTCATTGACGATGAAAGGAATGCCAGCGAAGGTTATCTGGACGAGAGAGTGCGAGGACGCGCTCCAGAGATTACAAAGGCATTTAATAGTAATCCGTTCTTGTGTTTGCCAGATTTGTCTCTGCCGTTTTATGTATCCACAGATGCGTCTGATGTTGCGATTGGTGGGACGTTGATGCAATCCAGAGAGGGCACCCTACTTCCTGTTGTTTATGCCAGCAGGAAGCTGTCTCCTACTGAATGCCGTTACAGCGTGGGCGAAAGGGAAGCACTAGCCATTTTTTGGGCAATAGGGAAGTTTACCCAATTCCTGTATGGCAGTCACTTCTTTGTCTTGACAGACCATCGTCCACTCGAAGTCTTGAACTCAGCACCCATCAAAAACTCACGCATATTAAGATGGACAATGTTTCTACAGACGTTCAACTTCACAGTTATTTATCGCCCAGGGAAAGAGAATGTCTTAGCCGATTTTTTGTCGCGCACCCCAGAGGCATTGGAAGACGATTGATGTTTATTTGTTCAATTTACATGATATTTAAAATGCATGATGTTATGAAAAATAATTTGGATAACAATAATGTTGTTGATAATAATGCTTAGTGAAGTCAGGAATCTATATTTTGCATGCATTTAGTAATGTATTGACGATATATTGAGGAGTGAGTGTGTGTGTATTCAAGTGTTCTTATTTGCTCTCTCGTACTGGTGCTGTTTGCCGCGACATGACTCCAGTTTTCCGACCGAGACTACGACAAGCCCTAGTGCTCGGTCGTCCTGGGGAGGGGGGAAAAGCTGTCGCGTGCGAATGTGCACCAGAACGCACCAGTACGGAGTGAGCAAATAAGACGTCAAAACAATACGTAACGTTGTTATGATTTATTGTTGTAAAAGCAGTTGATGTTTATAGTCCGAAGGAGACGGACGTGGGAATCCCTGAGGACGCTTTACCCCGGGATCCCACGGAAGCAAACGTTATATAAAGTTGGATCCTTGAGGACGTTTTACCCCGGGACTCCAAGACCTCAGCAGGAAGCTGGTGAGCACTACATTCTCGGCAGCAAGCCGGTATACTTTCATTGCTTAATTCGGACTTGTCCGAGGAGAAAGTAAATCGTCTGGATCTCAAGGTCGGACTGCGACCTATCGTAAGGATATAACCGTCCACGGATGTACGAGTGAGCTTTGGTTGAACGAGTTGATTATTGATTGCATATGTATTTCTCCTTGTATTGCTGATCGTATATATCAATACAACCATTGGAACTTAACGCATAGCGTTCGAGCTCTACATTTTGAAAGCATTGAAGTAACTACTGTTTTACCCCTACTTGGCCTATTTCATCTTGGTACCACACACTCAGCATGAAGCTCTGCACGTCCCAATGAAGGACCGCACGTATCACCTCAGAGAAACGGGAAGGATAGAGGACTTTGGTGGCAGGGAATCCACATCACTCGCCAGAATGGCAGACTTGGGAATTAAGATCGGCACAGCAAAAAACGAGACGCACACCGGACACGTCAGAAGACTTGTTAATCAACATAGAACTGGTACTATTAGCCATCGGACGTTGGGGTTCATACTGAGGGGAGGATCTGAGCACCTATGGACATGTCCGGAGTGCAATGATGATAACCCAACTAACTAACTAACTAACTAACTAGCGGTAGGATTAGGGTTTGGGTTAGGGGTAGGGTTAGGGTTAGGATTAGGGGTAGCGTTAGGGTTACGGTTAGGATTAGGGGTAGCGTTAGGGTTACGGTTAGGGTTAGAGGTAGAGTTAGGGGTAGGGTTAGGGGTAGGGTTAGGTGTAGCGTTAGATGTGACAATTGTGACGCCGTAGTTCCCTATAATCGCGCACAGTCGCATGCACGCGCAAACAGTCGACGGACGGTGGATGCTACTGACACGGACAATTCGCCACCGATTGGGCACCAGCCGCGCGCTATTGCCGTCATATTTGCGACACTTCCAGTGGCGCCACTCCCACAAACATCAGATTGTCGGCCAGTATTTTGACCTCTTACGTGAAAATTTTCACATCTAACCCTAACCCTACCCAAAACCCTAACCCTACTGCTAACCCAAACCCTAAGCAACCCTACACCTAACCGTAGGACGGTGATAGACACCCTACGCAGCCCTACACGCAACCGTAGGATGATAGGTAACCCTAGACGCAACCGTAGGCAACCCTACACGCACCCGGATGATGATAGGTAAGTATGTCATTTGATTTGTGACTTTTTCCGCGACTTGTTTTGGGTTTGGCGAAGGGACATAACTCCCACTAAGCCGACCGACGCCGTCCAGCTTGCCGGCCAAATTTGCAAGTAGAGCCCAAAACTTTGGGCTCTCCTTGCAGATCCGGACGAGGGTTGGACGCGGGCTGGACGACTTAGTTCAGTTTAGTGGGAGTTCTCTCCCTTGGCCGCACTCGAAACAGTGAGCGGAAAAAGTCCACGAAACAAATGACATACTTACCTATCATCATACGGTTGCGTGTAAGGTTGCGCACGGTTGCGTTTAGGGTTGCGCAGTCATCATACGGTTGCGTGTAGGGTTGCGTAGTCGTCATACGGTTGCCTGAAGGGTTGCGTTGTCATCATACTGTTGCGTGTAGGGCTGCGTAGGGTTTGGGTTAGGGGTTTTGGTTAGGGGTAAAGTTAGGGTTAAGGTTATGGGTTAGGGTTAGGGGTAGGGTTAGGGGTTATGGGTAGGCTTAGCTTAGGGGTTAGGGTTATGGGTTAGGGGTAGGGTTAGATGTAGGGTTAGGGGTTAGGGTTAGATGTGAAAATTTTCACGTAGGAGGTCGAAATAGTGGCCAACAATCTAATGCTTGTGGGAGTGGCGCCACTGAAATTCTGCCAAATATGACGCCAATAGCGGGCGGCTGGTGCCCAATCGGTGGCGAATTGTCCGAGTCAGTAGCCTCCACCGTCCGTCGACTGTTTGAGTGTGTATGTGACTGTGCGCGATTATAGGGAACTACGGCGTCAAAATTGTCACATCTAACGCTAAACCTAACCCTACCCCTAACCCTACCCTTAACCACGCAAATTTATCGGTCATTAAAGCATACAGATCGGCAAAACAGAAAAAAAAAAAAAAAAAGATATCCCCGCAGTGTCAAAAAAAAAAAAAACCAGATCTGGGGGACACACACAAGCATTGGCAGCCGTGATGTCGACCTCACTGTCTTGTTTGATTCGTGACTTTTTCCGCTACTTGTTTCGAGTGCGGCCAAGGGAGAGAACTCCCACTAAACTGAACTAAGTCGTCCAGCCCGCGTCCAACCCTCGTCCGGATCTGCAAGGAGAGCCAAGTTTTGTTCCTATCTCAAACGTCAGCCGTTTCCAGGAAAGAAACAGTAGGCTCCCGCAAAAAAAAAAAAAAGTAGACTAACAATAAAAAACCTACAGATTTGTCTGGATTCCATTGTGGTTCTTCAATTGTAAACGGGCTCGCTAGATCCGGATCGACGGTAATCATTCTATAGCCACTTTTGGACTTAACAAGCTTCCTCTCTACAGTCGCCATAGTTGTGATGCCGGAAGTACACCCCCGTTTGTTTACGTTTTCTACAGTCACATTTGAGGCAGTGAATAATCCATGTCATAGGGAGCTAAGAAAAACAGTTCTCGCATGTTATATACTATACAGAGGTAGTTTTGCCTTATGGCTGTGAATCCTGGACAGTTAATAAATACGCCAAATAATTTCTTCATGCCCTCACATTTATGGCAATAAATCTATGTCACTGGATCTTAGAAAAACAGTTCCTGCATGCTAGTTTTAACTTACGACTATCAGTACCAGGGTTACAAAATATCTTTGTGGGGGGAGAGGGTGTGAACCCAGTATTACTGGGTTCACACCCCTCCCCCTCCTAGATCTTTTTTTTTTTATATGACGGGTTCAGATTTTGATATCTGTTTTTAAAAAAAAATCTATCCTTATAGTTAGGGGTTTAAATAAGGGATCAACATCAAGGCACACAGGTAAAGTTATATATAGGGCCTCATCAAGTCTAAATCTGGCCATGGAGACAGACGGGAGAGGGGTTAGGAGAGGCAGGAAATTGGACACAGTTGTGATAACTGAAAAGATCTGTGGAAAAAGGACAGAGGAAGACAGCATGAGAAGATTCTTGACCACCTTTTTTCAAGGCATGGAGTGGTGTCAGTACATGAAGTGATACGTGCTGTTTGAAGTTGAAGATCACAGATTGTGGACAGGTGGGATCACCAATGCCACTCAGCATGGCGCTTGCTGTTTGTGACAGTGATAATGTCTGTCTTGTCTGCTTCAGGATTCCAAGCCCTTGAGATTCACTGCAGCAGATATAACTCTCATCTCTGACTTTCTTAATGTCTCTGGAATGCAGCAAATTCACTATATCGGCTCTGACTATGCTTCTTAATCCACCAGCCACTGCAGACATGGCCAGTCTGTCGGCTCTTTCATTTCCTTGCACCCCAGAAAATCCTGGTGCGTACAGCCAAGATAGTTACTTGAGGCGAGACTTCTGAATGCTGCCAACCCATTCTAGTCAGAGTTTGCCAGGTTGGATTTTCTTAAGCAAGCTCATTGAATCTGTCACTGTCAATGCGTGAGTCTCTTTCTGTTTTACCAGTTATGCAAGTGCCCCTAGGACAGCTGCTATTTCCAGTAACATATTAGAAGTAGTTGAACTGAATGGCCTGACTATCTTTTTACACCTGTGTGTGCCTTCCCAGACCGCAACTCATGAGTTACTGGGCCATCTGTATAGATGACATCACCTTGTCGAGTGTGCTCGTGAATGAGCGCCATTACTTCAGTATCAGCAGCTGTTTGATTTCATTTATTACAATACCTGATTATTACCTCAATGTGTTCCTGAACATTTTGCTGGTATTTCTAGCCATTCGTCACCTAGCCTATATGTTCCGATGCGCTGATTTGGTAAATGATGTTCACTGCTTCTGCTGTCTGGGACCACCCCCTCTTAAGACGCTTACCTTTGTTCATCCAAAGACAGCTGTGCAGAGGGTGTTTATCTTAGCAGCAACACCCAGGAACATGATGTATGAGGCGGTATATCAAAAAGGAACAGAATAGATAGCCCAAACTCTGTGACATTTGACAAAAGACCTCAAAGAAGGAACATACTTCCTGAAAATCCTCAGTGTTTTATGTGCCAGAAAGCTTTTCATACAAAGTCCATCTGCTGTAGCAAAGCAGAAACCTATCATTATAATGTAGGCACACACCCGTTCAGCGAGTACCCTCTGGCCAAAAAACTGAAAACCAAACCCAAACAGAAAATACACAAACTCTTTCAGCCCCCAAGGAGCCAGATACCTCGGCTGCCAGTATATCCAGGAGTGCAAGAACACAGTGAAGACAGTGATTACAACTAGGGCTGTACCGAATATTCGCTTCGGGGCTGAATAGTGGACCTAATGACTATTCGGTATTCGGTCGAATACTTGCGGTCGGGTCGAATATGAATAGTGGTTACTTACACCCATTTCTGCATACACTGCAATAGTTGCTGTTGCCTAAGTCGCTTTAGTGCATTAACTAAGCTGTCAGTGACAATTTACACGTTTAGTTAAAAACTAAGAATACTTTCATTAGGTATTAGTTACCACAGACTGACTGACTGAAGGATGCAAAACATAAAATGTTTTTAAATGTTTACTATTCTGTACTGCATTTTGTGAAGTAAAATTGTAGTGTGCATTTGACATTATGAATATGTTTTTATTTCTATTTTATACACTGTTCAAAAGTGGAAGAATGGGCCTCATTTTGAATAGTGGGTAGACATAAGTAATGGTGGTATCAAAGAAAAGAATTATTTCTAAATGTGAAATAAAAGTCAGTGGTGTTATTTTGGGACAAGTACAGAAATTCAAGTATCTGGGCACATGGATAACATCAGATGGAAATGCATTACTAAAATAAGAAACAGAATAGGACAGGCAAAAACTGCATTTTATAAAATGAAGAACATCTTATGCAATGTATCTTTGTTATTGCTTGCTACATACATCCAGTTTTAACATATGGCTGTGAATCCTAGACAATCGGTAGGCACGCCAAACAAATTCTTGAGGCCTCAGAGATGTGGTTTTACAGAACAACGCTTTAAATACCTTAGACAGCACAACAAAAGCAACCACGAGGTTTTGAGAGAGGCGGAAGCCCGAAGACAACTAATCACAGACATCAGAAGGAGACAGTCATCATTTTTCAGCTATGTTATGAGAAGAGGGAAAAGAACATGTGGTGATCACTGGAAAGATCTGTGAAAGGAGGGATAGAGGAAGACAATGAGAGAAGACTCTTGACAGTCTTGTTGCATAGCATGGAGGTGTGTCAGCACATGAACTAATACATGCTGCAGGAGATCGCAGATTGTGGTGAGGCATAATCACCCACGCCAGTCGGCAAGGCATCTGATGATGATGATACACTATTCGTCGTCGGCCGAATATTTGGTACCGCTATTCCTATTTGGCAGAATAGTGAAAATAACTATTCGGTACAGCCCTAATTACAACCTTATATCAAAGCATGAAGAAGCAAGGCAATGTGGAGCATGTCCTCCATAGAGAGAAAAAGACTTCAAGTCTAAATCAAGGAAATGAAGGAACAGCTGCCAAATGTCATCCCCCCTTCCCCTTCTCTTCCTTACAGCAACAACGAACATGGTAGAAAAAGTGCAAAGACAGAGGTGAATGAGTACAATCACAAATATGTCCACCAGGATGACAAGAAAGGCAGGGGAAAAAAAAGGACAGAGTCCAAAGCAAAACAGAAGCATCAAAAGTCTCACTCCATCTAAAAAAATAGAGAAGAGAAATGCAGAGCAACTGATGATACTGACAAAGCAATACAAGAACTTAAAGAGCTGCAGTGCACAGTTCAGTGAACACAGAAAGCCTTGAAAAACATAAGATGCCACTGTGATGAACTGATGAGAAAATAGAAACCAAGCAAGAAAGCTAGGCAAGCAGTGGGACAAGATCAAGCAAAGGATCAGTCTGAAGACAAGAAGGAGACAGACAAAGTGAGTAAAACAGATTTCAAGATGGAGGCCAGGCAGGAAGAAATAAACCCAGCTGTACTAAAGACACCTCCCGTATTCATTAACCAGTGCAAAGTCAGTCATAGACCTAAGCCCTACAGATGAGGCTGATGCAGTCCTTTACAGAGCTTTGCTGGAAAGTAACCTTAAGGAAAAAAAAAACATCTGGCGGATAACTTGTAGGACCAGACAGTAGGACCCCAAACCTGAAAGGCCAGACAACAGGCAGCACTGCAGGTTTAAGATCAGACTAAATTCATGTAACACCGATGAAGAAGAAACAAGCTCGAACATCCCAGTCATAACCTCAACATGAATGGACAAAGAAAAATACTATATAAACAGAAATAAAAACACTAGTATAAGCCGAATATGCCAAAGTCATTAAAAAATCCTCTACTATTTGTCCACAAGTGACAGAAAATGAAGGGATTCATCTGAAGTAAAAACACTGCAAACTCATTGAAGATAGTAGTTAATAAAAGCAATATGTGTCCACAGCACTGAACTTTGTGGTCTCGACAGAGATAGAAAGAAATAGACTACTTGCTAAATAAATTGTCTTTACCTATTTTCAGTGTGGCATTGACAGGAGGTGGGCAGAGAATCCTTGATCTTTTAGGCTAGTGTAGTCACTATGATCTGTGCAGGCAAGGTTTTTATTTTTGCTCCAGACAGAAACATTTCTGTCTCATTACTACTAGAGATTTTAAACTGGGTCTCTCAAAAGACAGACCAACATTCTAACCGCTTGACCCAGCATCTGCCTTAATAAACAAAAATCTTCTATTCTCTCTTTGTGGGTTTGTACATAAATATATGCATACAGAATATGCCACCATGAAAATATATAATAAGCAAACAAGCAAAAAGAATTTCAAGGTGTGATTTTTTTTTTTAACTTTAAAATTATGCATATCAATCATGTAAACAAGATAAGGGCATTAAATTAAGAAACATAGTAAATATTGTATCGGTAAATGATTTTAGAGAACATCAAAGAATCAAATGGTTTGGTTATCTGGTCAGAATGGAACAAAATCAGCCAGAGTGCACTGCATAAGAACAACGGGCTACAAGTCAAAAGGCAGACCACGAAAAAGAGATGGGTGGAGGGAGTAAAAGAGAAACTATAGAAACACAGTATCACATTAACACAAGTTACTTAACCAGCAAACGACAGGAAACTGCATCTAACTCCTCTCTGTGCTACTTTACAAAGAAGAAGCATTAATATTTCATTAAATTCCCAGACATAAGATGTAAAATTCACTACATGACAGCACAACTCCATGGCTAAATAGTTCAGCTGTGGTGCAGTTTTTCTTGTGATCCCTGGGGATCTTCTCTTGAGGTGTAGAGTCTTGAATGTGAGAGGCCTGAGTCCTGAATGTTAGAGACCTGAAAAATCTTGAATGTGAGATAACTAAGATAACCTTGAATGTGAGAGACCTTAGATAGTCTTGATTGTGAGAGACCTGAGACAGTCTTGAATGTGATAGACCTTGAATGTGAGAGACCCTAGATAATCTTAAATGTGTGAGAGTCTTGAAATGTGTGAGCCTGAAGTTAAGCAGCAGATAACCCCATTAAGGCATTTCTTGATGTACACTTAACATGAATGAGATCAAATATGTGCAACTAGCTCACAGCAGTCAATGCTACTAAAATAAAGACTAATGCAGCATGACACATTTCTTCTCTGTGTTTGGTTAAATATATCCGAACAGTGGTTTCACGCACACGCACACTCACACACACGCACGCACACACGCACACACACACACACACACACACACACATATATATATATATATATATATATATATATATATATATATATATATATATATATATATATATATATATATATATATATATATATATATATATATATATAGGCAATATTTCAATATTGGTGTAGATTTAAAATCAGCTTTTTAAAAGTTGACTTATTGAATTTTAAAAAATTAACAATTGTAAACATTTGTGAAAGTACAAGAAACAACATAAATGCTGTTAAAGCTTGAAAAACAAATAAATATAATATCAAATAAATTATGATAACACATAATAACAGGCATTTTCATAAATATTTTAAAAAATGCAGTCACATATTATCTGGAATGCGTCTGTAATCTGCCATTGGGAATGTCAACAACAAAAATCACATCATTGGTAACACTGCTAGTATGGTCCTAGATTTGTCCTTGTCCTATTTGCACTTCATGGGCAATGTGATCAATGTACGCCGACCATCTTTTACTCCCTAGAATATTACCTGATACTAGTTTTATGATAGGTCACCTTGAAAATTTTGATCGGTAATAGAACTGCCTTGATGCAGATTCAAACCCAAGACTTCTGGGTTTGGTAAGCAAGTATCTAGCGATAATGCTGCTACAGCTGTCATGTTGTTGTAGTCTGCCGGTACAGAACCACATGTGAGGGTACAGAACCACATGTGAGGGTACAGAACCACATGTGAGGGTGCAGAACCACATGTGAGGGTACAGAACCACATGTGAGGGTGCAGAACCACATGTGAGGGTACAGAACCACATGCACCCAGACCAAGGCTCAGACTGGTCAAGACCTTTCTACACTTCTCTGCCGTCATCCTAGGAACAGGTTCCTAAATGGGGTCCAAGCATTTGTTGATAAGATCAAAGTTACCTATGAAGTCGGAGTGCATCTGCTGAGAGGTGAGGAACCAACAGTCTACACACAAATAAACCAGATGTATTAAATCTACTCACATGCAAAACTTAAGTCCTGGAAGAAGGCCAAAGTCCAGAAGTGGATGAACAACCAAGACTTACCACCAGAGTTTACAGCTTGTGAAGGTGAAGGAAAAAAAGTTCCAGTACCTTTCTTGCACACCCCTTTTTTTCTGAGTTTTGAGAGGGGTAGGGAAGCTCTACAGCACGGTTCCCTTAAAGATGGTGCTTTTCAAGACTAAAATAAACCTGAACACCAAGTGCATCATTATTTAAGCGATAAAAAGTCTTTTGGGTACTGTAAAATTCTCCTCATCCTTGTATGAGCCTAGACTGCCAATAAATAGGAAGTATGATTACTTCTGTAATGGCTCGGAACATTGATAATAAATAATAATTTAAAAGACTTTGTTACAATATTGCACATGAACTATTTTCAGCAACCCGAAAGTCCAACACTGAGGCAATGGCACTGTTGATGAGTTTCCGGATATTTTTCTCTACTTCTGGTGATGTTTCAATATAACACGCTGCTCCAACCCTCCTGGCAAAAGTGATTCCTTCTATGGTAGACACGGGTTGATGGCCACTAGCTGCTAGCATGTCTCTGATAACATCAACCGATCTGAAATGTCATGAATGTAAATTTTAGAACAAAGTATTTGTGAACGGAAAAGACACATGCCGTAGATGAACAATTTATGACCTGGCATATATCCTTGTTTCTCAGGTGCATACCACAGTGACACATGACTGCCTACTTTTACCAGGGCAGCCGTAAAGACAGAACCATCCCTTTCTAAATACAGAGTTCGTCACATCTGACTGGGCCATTTGAATTTACTGTCCCCTTCTTGGAGCCAGTCATGCCGACCTTGTGTGCATAGGGAATTCCCTGTGTCAGTGTCTTACATATGTGTGGTCATTCGGCATGATTCTTTCCTTGTCTCCCTCTCCCGATATATATATATATATACTTATATAAATATGTAGTCATGTGTGCTGCGCCTGCAAGCAAGCGGGTGGCAGGTAATGAGTGTATGTATATATGTGTGTGTATTTGTGTGTGTGTTTTTTTGTTAACTACTGCGCGTTTGAGTATGCGTGCTGAATTTTAGTAATACAGTGAGATAGTATTTTGGCCACAGAACACCAGTAGCACACATATATCTTCGTGTAGGGAGTCGGCAGTCCGAAACCCAAGTTCAAGGTGTCTCCTTCGTGCCAAAGAACTGCATGGCTGTTGGGTGAACAGTCGTTAACGAAGGCAGTCAGGTCGTTGTTGGGGTGACGCTTGCTGGTGGATGTAATGTCCTAAATCCCTTCCCCAGCTAATAGTAGGGTACTGCTGGGGTGACAGTTTATTAACCCTCACATAATGCTTCAGGTACAAATGAACACTAGGCACTGCCACTGTTTTGAGCCGAGGCAAACAATTTATGCTTCTGCCAGACTGTGGCCGTTGCTTTTTTTAAATCCATTTGTAGACTAGAAGTATATAGTTTCGTTACCCAGCTTCTGAGTTGAGTGCATGGCGTAACACTGTGAGCTGCGGATTTCATTTGGAATGTTTTTCGACTGACCAACATGGTGGTGTGATTTGTAGATTCAGAAAATGGCGCGATGCCGGTTGTCGCAATATTGGTGGGGCCATTATTTGATAAAAATTGATCGCGTGTGCAACTGCTGATCTTTTGGTGACTTCTGCTACCATCAGTGATGAACTGCATTTCTAACGTCAGACTGTTTGTGTTAGCACTTCGGATGGCTACCATATGCTTTTATTGCGAGTGTATGCTAGATTTGCTGAGACAGCAGTTTGTCAGTCTTTCTACAAGGGACTGTGATAAACATTCTGTGTGTTTTTCATTGGCACAGGAGCGGAGCAAAGATGGTGTGACCCGTTTGCTATGAAGCTGAAATTAAAATTACCAGAGTTCGTCACAAATTCGTCACCTGCGCCCGGAGCTCTGTATTAAGAAAGATATGGTTCTGTCTTTACGGCTGCCCTGGTAAAAAAAGGCAGTCATGTATGATCGTCGTTGAAATTGTACTTCAGTTATAAAGGGTTAACTTATTTGCTTAATGTATGTAATTGTTACTGTAGTATGCACCTGACGAGATACAGCGAAATATGCCAGGCAATAAATTGTGCAATCTGTTTTTTGTGTCTTCTTCGTTAAAATTATAAAACAACAAAAAATAGAAAGAAATCCTCCCGGATACCACACACCGAGTCATTCAAGTGTCACAACCAACATCTATTATGCAGATTCATTAAATTGTTCAATTCCTCAAGCTGTGAACCTTTAAAATAAAAAGGTTTATTTGTTTATATTTTCTCCTTCTGACCCAGCTCCGTAAGCCTATCAGTCTACAAACCCATCCGTGCATCTATCCATCCGTCTATCTGTTTGTCTACAAGTGTTTACATAAGTTTGACAGCGAAAGCTATAGTATGAGTTTTACAGTACACTGTAGCAATCAGCCATCTATGACAACATTGACTATTAAAACTGCTTCAGATAAATTGAATTACCGTAGATCTGCTTGTGCTCCAACAAGAATGAAGGGAGTGTCTGGTGCGTATAATCGAATCTCTGGAATCCAGACTTCTTCCACATGTTTCAGTGATTCCGGTTTAATGACAGAAAAGCAGACAACAAAAATGTGTGTTCCAGCGTAAAGACTGTGCCGGAACTTGGGATTCTGTTCCTGTGTAGAGTCAAACATGTATTGTAAAATTCAATTTTATGAGCAGGAAGGTCACGATATGTGTTGTTCTACTGCAATTAATCTTTCAATGATATAAGTATTATTTTAATAACAAAATCGACTAAAACAAGAGTATCATTCAATTCTGAAGTCTGAAGAACAACAATTGTTTATGCCTTGGTTCTTGGTCATCCATGGGTATTCTTGGTCATCCATGGGTATTCTTGGTCATCCATGGGTATTCTTGGTCATCCATGGGTATTCTTGGTCATCCATGGGTATTCTTGGTCTTCCATGGGTATTCTTGGTCATACAAGGGTATTCTTGGTCATCCATGGGTATTCTTGGTCTTCCATGGGTATTCTTGGTCATACATGTGTATTCTTGGTCATCCATGGGTATTCTTGGTCATCCATGGGTATTCTTGGTCATCCATGGGTATTCTTGGTCGTCCATGGGTATTCTTGGTCGTCCATGGGTATTCTTGGTCTTCCATGGGTATTCTTGGTCATCCATGGGTATTCTTGGTCGTCCATGGGTATTCTTGGTCTTCCATGGGTATTCTTGGTCGTCCATGGGTATTCTTGGTCATCCATGGGTATTCTTGGTCATCCATGGGTATTCTTGGTCATCCATGGGTATTCTTGGTCGTCCATGGGTATTCTTGGTCTTCCATGGGTATTCTTGGTCATCCATGGGTATTCTTGGTCATCCATGGGTATTCTTGGTCGTCCATGGGTATTCTTGGTCGTCCATGGGTATTCTTGGTCATCCATGGGTATTCTTGGTCGTCCATGGGTATTCTTGGTCATACATGGGTATTCTTGGTCATCCATGGGTATTCTTGGTCATCCATGGGTATTCTTGGTCTTCCATTTGTATTCTTGGTCATACATGAGTAGCTTAACAAGTTAGGGCCCAAAAAAAAAAAAAACCTAGACCCGTCACTAGGGAGGTATAATCCCAAGGCGCTGCCCTTAAGCCTCACAAGTTGGGTCATATGAAAGACAACAATCGAATTTTCTATTCTGCTTTCGGACTTACAAAGGGAGTTAACATGCTGTGTTATGGTTTACGACTGTGCTGTGAAATAAGCGCCATTCGGTCAAACACATCTGATTGCAGCAAAACCTTAGTCTCTTTGTATGACATGATTATTCAGGGCAGTCAGTCTGTTATTTTTTTTTTTTGCAGATTTGCTGTTGTTGTTTTTCTAGGCAAATTGACGTCCAGTAGCTTGCCATTGCAATAAACGGTCGGCTCTTGATACCATTGTCAAAACCAATGCGAGACAGTCTGCTGCAGCTTGGATCGAACCCGGCACCCAGGCATTAACAGCCACGTTCTCAACTCCTAAACCACAGTGGCCTACTGTAATAGAGCTGATGTTAAAAATTAAATTACATTTTCTGGCTTTTGTTTGAGGTTTTTTTTTTTGTTCCTTTATTTTCCGAATCTCAACACCCTTTGGATTAAATTCCAGTCGCCACAGGGATTCCCTGCTCGTGTAATTGTGTTCATCCATGTCCTTGGTGTAGGATTATTCTAAGATTACTAGATTGTATTTTTGTATGTCTTCACTTTGCTATAATGGAGCTTTCTAGTCTTGTTAGTGTTAATTTGGTTTTCAGCACACTGCTGTAGAAATGGAAAGTCTCACACCTTTTCATATTCCAGATGATAGCACAGGGTTAAATGTGTTAATTTTTTTTAAATCTGCGTTAAGTCAATATACAAAAACGAACATCACAGGACTCGGCACATTTCCAAAGTCACTGTCAAAGACCGACATCACAAGACTCGACACATTTCCTAAGTCACTGTCAAAGACCGACATCACAAGACTCGACACATTTCCTAAGTCACTGTCAAAGACCGACATCACAAAACTCGGTACATTCCTAAGTCACTGTCAAAGACCGACATCACAAAACTCGACACATTTCTTAAGTCACTGTCAAAGACCGACATCACAAGACTCGACACATTTCCTAAGTCACTGTCAAAGACCGACATCACAAGACTCGACACATTTCCTAAGTCACTGTCAAAGACCGACATCACAAAACTCGGTACATTTCCTAAGTCACTGTCAAAGACCGACATCACAAGACTCAACACATTTCTAAGTCACTGTCAAAGACCGACATCACAAAACTCGACACATTTCTTAAGTCACTGTCAAAGACCGACATCACAAGACTCGACACATTTCTTAAGTCACTGTCAAAGACCGACATCACAAGACTCGACACATTTCTTAAGTCACTGTCAAAGACCGACATCACAAGACTCGACACATTTCTTAGGTCACTGTCAAAGACCGACATCACAAGACTCGACACATTTCCTAAGTCACTGTCAAAGACCGACATCACAAGACTCGACACATTTCCTAAGTCACTGTCAAAGACCGACATCACAAGACTCGACACATTCCTAAGTCACTGTCAAAGACCGAAATCACAAAACTCTACACATTTCTTAAGTCACTGTCAAAGACCGACATCACAAGACTCGACACATTTCCTAAGTCACTGTCAAAGACCGACATCACAAGACTCGACACATTCCTAAGTCACTGTCAAAGACCGACATCACAAGACTCAACACATTTCTAAGTCACTGTCAAAGACCGACATCACAAAACTCGACACATTTCTTAAGTCACTGTCAAAGACCGACATCACAAGACTCGACACATTTCTTAAGTCACTGTCAAAGACCGACATCACAAGACTCGACACATTTCTTAAGTCACTGTCAAAGACCGACATCACAAGACTCGACACATTTCTTAAGTCACTGTCAAAGACCGACATCACAAGACTCGACACATTCCCTAAGTCACTGTCAAAGACCGACATCACAAGACTCGACACATTTCCTAAGTCACTGTCAAAGACCGACATCACAAGACTCGACACATTCCTAAGTCACTGTCAAAGACCGACATCACAAAACTCGACACATTTCTTAAGTCACTGTCAAAGACCGACATCACAAGACTCGACACATTTCCTAAGTCACTGCCAAAGACCGACATCACAAGACTCGACACATTTCCTAAGTCACTGTCAAAGACCGACATCACAAGACTCGACACATTTCCTAAGTCACTGTCAAAGACCGACATCACAAGACTCGACACATTTCCCAAGTCACTGTCAAAGACCGACATCACAAGACTCGACACATTCCTAAGTCACTGTCAAAGACCGACATCACAAAACTCGACACATTCCTAAGTCACTGTCAAAGACCGACATCACAAGACTCGACACATTCCTAAGTCGCTGTCAAAGACCGACATCACAAGACTCGACACATTCCTAAGTCACTGTCAAAGACCGACATCACAAGACTCGACACATTTCTTAAGTCACTGTCAAAGACCGACATCACAAGACTCGACACATTCCTAAGTCACTGTCAAAGACCGACATCACAAGACTCGACACATTCCTAAGTCACTGTCAAAGACCGACATCACAAGACTCGACACATTCCTAAGTCACTGTCAAAGACCGACATCACAAGACTCGACACATTCCTAAGTCACTGTCAAAGACCGACATCACAAGACTAGACACATTTCATAAGTCACTGTCAAAGACCGACATCACAAGACTCGACACATTCCTAAGTCACTGTCAAAGACCGACATCACAAGACTCGACACATTCCTAAGTCACTGTCAAAGACCGACATCACAAAACTCGACACATTTCTTAAGTCACTGTCAAAGACCGACATCACAAGACTCGACACATTCCTAAGTCACTGTCAAAGACCGACATCACAAGACTCGACACATTCCTAAGTCACTGTCAAAGACCGACATCACAAGACTCGACACATTCCTAAGTCACTGTCAAAGACCGACATCACAAAACTCGACATATTTCTTAAGTCACTGTCAAAGACCGACATCACAAGACTCGACACATTCCTAAGTCACTGTCAAAGACCGACATCACAAGACTCGACACATTCGCTAAGTCACTGTCAAAGACCGACATCACAAGACTCGACACATTCCTAAGTCACTGTCAAAGACCGACATCACAAGACTCGACACATTCCTAAGTCACTGTCAAAGACCGACATCACAAGACTCGACACATTCCTAAGTCACTGTCAAAGACCGACATCACAAGACTCGACACATTCCTAAGTCACTGTCAAAGACCGACATCACAAGACTCGACACATTCCTAAGTCACTGTCAAAGACCGACATCACAAGACTCGACACATTCCTAAGTCACTGTCAAAGACCGACATCACAAGACTCGACACATTCCTAAGTCACTGTCAAAGACCGACATCACAAGACTCGACACATTCCTAAGTCACTGTCAAAGACCGACATCACAAGACTCGACACATTCCTAAGTCACTGTCAAAGACCGACATCACAAAACTCGACACATTCCTAAGTCACTGTCAAAGACCGACATCACAAGACTCGACACATTCCTATATGTGCTTCGTCTAAAATTTCTGATAGTCCCAGCAGCAGTTTGCTTATATGCCCATTCTGCCTCTCCTCTCCTTCCTCTCATCGCATGGGTACCAGGGCTCCAGTTTTTATTGGGGGACGGGAGGGGAGGGGAGGGGGGTAAAAAGAGGCCCAGTGCCCTATAACAAACATGTCGTAGAAGTTGACTAAATAAGGGGTGTTTCCTCTGAAGTCAGAGTACATCTGCCTAAAATGTGAGGAGCCAACCAAGTCTACATACAAATAAAAAAGCTCTGTAAAACGGACACAAGACTGAAGCCTAGAAGTGGACAAACAACCAAAACCCTCTGCCGGAATTTACCGTCATTTAATGTGAAGGAGAAGAAGTCTTTTGTAAAAGTGTAGAGTTTTGAGTAAATCTTATGCTCACTCCCCACAATGCTATTATCTCCGCACCCCAACGATCTATTTGCATTTCTGCATGGTTCACTTGCTTCCAGAGAGTTTTTACAACCTTTAACTAGTCACAGTCCAGTGGTGCGGTACAAGCTGATCTGTCTTCCTATTCATTCCCCACTACGCATGCGTATCCTCGAGCAATCCAAAGGACGCTAACTACCGGGGATTCCTGAAACGATGCTTTCCACTCCTAGACTCACCTAACCTTTCTCAGCATGTTATGGGTTGAAGTCACCAGTGTCTGCTACTTTTTTTTTCCTAGAGTCCTTTGAATATTATCCAACAACCCTGTCTTTTATGTTAAGTATTGAGTTCCAAAGTAAATAAATATATTCTCCACCCCCCCGCCTCCCTTCCTCACGGGAGTCGCCTGTGGGTCGGAAGATCGTGGGTTCGCGTCCTGAAGGAGCCGGATTTTTTTCAAAAAATGACCCTGACTCTCAGGTCGACCCATCCCTGAGTGGGTTCCTGGTGCATTCAGGAGAAGTAAAGGCGGCCGGCATTATGCTGGCCACATCACCCAGCAAGTTCTGATTGGTCTATAAAAATTAAGGTCTAGCCCTATATTCCCAATATGCCTAACGGTGTAGAAAAGGAATCTTTACTAACTGGGGATAGGACACACGTACATCGTGTAAGTGAGTTGAAGCTGCTAACAGAACGGATCCACGCCTTTCTGCTTCTAGCATTATTCATGAAACTATACTTCTCCTTCTGCATTGTACTTAAAACTGCCAGCCACATGTGTTGTGGTTTACAACTAAGCGACAATGCCTGCACCAAAGTTTTAAGCTCCCTAGATGACATTCCATGAAATCACTCACCTCTTCTACAGCATCTATGATCTGCATCTGTATCTTCCTGCCTGCAACTGTTAGTGAACCTGAACAATAAAGATATGTTATAAAAGGCGAATTAAATAAAGAATGATAGAACAATAAAGATCTGTATTGTCTAAATTTTTTCACCTGGGACGTCAGTGTGTTGGGAAATGGACAGACTGTCTGGCTTTGCACAGCTTGGTGGAATACTGATAAATGATAAGGCAGACGTGGTAAGTGTCTTGTGGGAGAGCGTGTACATTTCGGATTACCAGTCTGGTGAGATTGATGCAGGAGGAGTGACGAGAGGTTCTGGCAAATGCTCGAGGCTCAGAGGAAAGGCAAGACGAACGTTTAATCAGAATGCTACTGGCACCATTAGTATCGGAACTCTTCGCTGGCTGCTAAAGACGGGAACGGAGCGCTTATGGGGATGCCCCTAGTGCTGTGGTGTCGGTTCTTGAATCAAACCAAATCAGATCTGTTATAAAGGCAAGTTAAATAATGAATGAAAGAACAATAAAGAGCAGTTATAAAAGGCAAATTAGATAAAAGAAACAGACCATATATCACCGTCATCGTCGTTTTTGTCACTGTCATCATCATCGTGTTCCTGTCGATAAGCTTAGGCGGACATGGTTTAGTATCTCGTATGGCACCAGAATCACGTAACATGTCAGTGTTCTTATCGTGCCTCGCACATGTGGCCAGTCCATCCAGGTATTTACCTCTTTGTCTTCTTCTTGCTCTCTTCCACTTCAGTCTTACCAGCTGTTTTCTTACCAGCTGTTATCAACTTCACAAATTTACCTGTAGCATCTTGTGCAACGCAGTCTATTCCTCAAACCCGTTTTATCCTGCGCAATCTTTACGATGTTATGGATGGAATTCGGGCCTGCACCTTTGATTTCGCCTCAACTTGTATCTCAGGTTTCTCTTGATTGTCCCAGTTTCCTCAAGCAATTAGCTGCTTATTTATGTGTCTGTTTGATTATTCTATGTCTGCCTCTTCTCATCATGTGTATAATCAATGTTGCTGGTATTTTGAAGGATGCTAGGTTTTTCATGCGGGAGACCCGGGTTCGAATCCTCGGTCGGACGTAAAAATATATTCCTAACATGTACAGCTCGCGGCGACAGCACTAGCCATGCGGCCCGCAACACTCAGGCCCAAAGAGCTCCCACAACCCGCGCCTACACCGCAAAAGTTGTAAATACAAGCAGTCACAGCAGTTAATACTTTGGTCTCATTTTCTATTTAAAAAGAAACAGAAAAGAAATCGGGTGACTGTGTGGGATAAAATCACTACTGCGCTTTGTTTACATTTTCAAAAGAGGTGTGGTGTGGTATGTATGAGTGGTTTAACATAACCATTATTAATTCAGATAGTTTCCCTATACTGTACTAAGTAAACATTATTGGCGAATGTGGTAATCTCGTAAAGCTGTTACATGATAAGGGCGTCACCTATTAAAGCGTCACCGGTTTATGACGCAATAGGGGAAAACATTTTACTACAAATGATACATGGATTGTAATCCACGACCCGCCCTAAAATGGATACCAGGAAATGTCCAGGAAAGTAAAGATAGTGGACGTGTTGTTAAACACATCACCCAGCGACTGTCGATTTATCTATAAACAGGCAAAACTTGCGTTAAAAGAATCCTTCAGAGACTTTTCAGCTACATTCAAATCATAGAGAAATGAGTCCGTTACAGAAGCGACTTGCCAGACAAGATCTTAGCAGGGTTTTAATTATTACCCCTTTCCCCACTCACACTCCGACCTACCACAAAGATGTAACGTTTAGCACAAATACAGATCATCCAGTATAATTAGGCGTACTGTAAAGTTAAATCAATCTATTTGTATACGCATTCTTTACTTTCACACATACCTTTCAAATTCGTTCAGTATTAGCCACAAAACGACTTTTTCATTGATGCCTTCATTTACTGCATACGTTTCCTAACTCATTCTGTCGAAATTCTTTGTACCGTTAATCCGTTATATTTCGTCTATTGCCTCTTCTTCGTGTTTACCAGCTGTAAACTCCGGTGGAAAGTTATGGTTGTTCGGCCTTTTGTTGACTTTGGTATTGTTCCAGAACTTGAGTTTTGCGTGCACATCCGTTTCGCAGAGGTCATATTTGTATGCAGACTATTAGCTCCTTTCCTCTCAGGTAGATGCATTCAGACTTCGAGGGAAACATCCCTAATTTGTCGCTTTGTACGACATGCTTTTAGAAAAAAAAATGGATCCATTATTTCTTCTCCCCCCCCCCCCCCCCCCAGATAGGGTCCCTGAACACATACCATTATATTTCAAAATGTTACTTTGATTTCTTTTGTTGGAAAGTTTTCTAATTAAACTCATTAGGACTTGAAGGTGATGTTTTAGAGCAAGCACAGAAATGTGAGTATCTACTAGGTACATGGATAACATTTGATGGAAGATGTACGATAAAGAACAGACAAGGACAGGCCAAAACTGCCTTTTATAAAACGAAGAACATTTCGTGCAATAAACGCATGTCATGGGAGGTTAGGGAAAGAATTATCGCATGCTATATGGAGCCAGTTTTAACACAAGGCTGTGAATCCTGGATAATTAATAAATAGGCCGAACAAAATCTTGAGGCCTCGGAGATGTGGTTTTAGAGAAGAATTCTTATAATTCGGTGGACAGCTAAAAGGAATAACCCAGATGTTTTGAAAGAGGCATGTGCTCGAAGACAACTAAACACAAACATCAGAAAATGACAGTCATCTTTTTTTTTGGGGGGGGGGGGGGGGGGGGGGGCATGCTGTGAGAAGAGGGAAAATGGAAGATGTTGTAACCACTGGAAATGTTTGTGGGACGAGAGACAGGGAAAGACAACGCCAAAAAGATTCTTGACAGTTTTTTGTCATGGCATGGAGGGGTGTTAACACATGACCTGATATACGCAGTTGTGGATTGCAGATTGTGAAGAGGCAAGGAACTTGATGATGAGAAATGAAAGTATCAGATGAGGGACATGAAAAGATCTGGTTTGGCACCAGTAAAGAGAAACGACTGGGTGACGGCACTATCTCAGATCTTGGCTGCGCAGAGGTAATCAAACTCTTTCTTGAAGCTGGCAGAAGCCAGCTGCCACGTTCCTATTCAAGAACACGTACGGAAATCAGCTCACGACCGTCATCCAGCTAAAGGTGAACAGTGGCAGCAAAGAAGAAGAAGACGACAAAGAAGAAGAAGAGGAAAGGAGGCGGAAGGGGAGGGGAAAGAGAGGGGAGGAAAGGAAGAGGCAACACAAAGAAAACTTAAAAGAAGGAGGGAGGAGGTGAAAAAACAGAGTGAGAAGAAGATGCGGAGGAGGAAGAACAGGGGGAGGAGGAGAAGAAGGGGGACAAGAAGAAAATTAAAAAGAAAATGAAAGTAAAGGGGATCAGAAGGAAGGAGACATAATAATAATAATATTAATAATAATAATAAAACGACTGGGTAAAAGATGTACCTGCATAGTTGTCAAACACTGGTGGCACGTGCTGGGTCGGGTACCTGTCAGTTGCATATCCCATCAGCATGCTTGTTTTCCCTACAGAATCGTCTCCAACTACAACACATTTTAGATCAGCTTTACTTAACATCTTCACCAAGGCAAGTTTTGACACATATAAATCCAAGCAGAAACTAAATTCACTTGTGAAACTATTTGATTCCATATATTTTCTAACGAAGTTAACCATTTATAAATGTTTGGCACAGAGTCCGGCTCATGTCTTCAAGCTGATTGGTTGAATACCTGCGCGTTAACGAACTTAAGTCTGGTATTTTTAAAAGGGCCGTTCCTTCAGACAGGTGGGATGTCTGTTCAGAGTTCAGACACCGCTCCTGTCTTTGTTGTGTTGTCTTTGTTGTCACTTGGCTGCGCGTGTCGGTCCCGTTCTGCATCTGCTGAAAATTAGTTATCTTCAACACCTGTCGTAGAAGAGGCCTTCCGTTACCTCGTCGTAGTCTTCATCTTCTGCATGTATCTAGTGTGGGACGGTATAAACTGGCTATTAGTGATTTTGTGTAGCCTATTTGTGTGGTATTGTTTTATTTATGTATGTGCTGATGAACGCTCCATAGCCTCAGCGTTCACGTTTTGTTTGTGTTAGTTTTATTGTGAAACTCGCTGATATACTTTCCTTTCGGTTTTATATCTTTTCTCGGTATTTGCTCTTGGACGTCTGCCGATGGTACGAGCCTAAACTTTGTTGCTTGCACCGTTGGCCAGCAAAATGGGTTATTCAACATCGGAGTACTCTTACCAGCTGTGTACCTGGGTCGCAGTTACATCGGGTCAGCAATAATTCTCATAAACTTATTTGGAACATCTGCAGGCGTTGTTTTAGACAATATTAAAGACGATACTAGACACAGGCGCGAGGTGCGAAGTTAACATTGAGGAAGGGGGGCGCTAAACTCGACCACACCTCCTCTCTGTTTTACACATTTTCTAATGAAAAAAAAAAGGGGGTGGGAACACCCCAAACACGTCGCCTCACCGCCTAAGCCCTCAAGGGAGAAAGAAAAATAATAACGGGCCAGAAAACTACATTATGATAACGATACAATGTGTAACTTTAGAAATGGTGGATTGAAGGCTGTAGCTGTCAGGTAAGTGAAATTGTTTCACAATCCCATCTTTGACATACCAAGGTTCATTTCAGTAGCTGTTTGAAAGAAGAACAGAGAAACCGTTCATTTCGGCCAACCTCCATTTCGGAGACAATATCCCCATAACATTAGTGACGAGAATACCATGGTACCAACCAGCGTCGCGTCGTGCCATGATACAGAGATCGAACACACCAGATGGTACCGTAAGAAGGGCGGCATAAGCAGCGAAATCAAAATACAATCTAAACTTTTGATCAGACGGCGCGAACCTATCAGTAGCGGCATTTCAAAGATTTGCATCAGATTACGAAAATCTACGACACAGGACTGGTACCAACGGCCTCTCTGGCATCAGTGTGATACTATCAAGTCTTTCATGCTTTCTAAGTTCATTCAAGCATGTCGCGATGTGTTAATATAGTCTCAGTATGTCTATTGTGTTATAACATCGCGGCCCGTGATCCAACAAGTCATACGAAATTAAGATTGTTTATTCTACAAAGACAAGTTGACAATATCCTTTAGACAAAGTCGACAAGACGCTTCATTATAAGATGTTATGTGTTTAACTCATGTACCCCTAACAGGCTACTGGCTGTTATAGAATGTTTGTAAACTCTCTTCTAACATGAAGTCTGGATATCGTTCTTTTAACGAAGTTTTTGCTGTGTTCTCATTAACCCATATCTCAGTTACTATCCAAAGGTTTGTTATCGACTTTCTATTTCGTTAAAATGCCTCAGCCATACAGAACACGAGTTCTATCTCATAGATTAGGGGTTTTTTTTTTTTTTTTGCTGAACAAAAGATATAAAATCAAACGAAGAGTATATCAGCAAGCTTCACAATTTAACAAACACATACACACACAAAACGTGAATGTTGCGGCTATGGAGCCTTCATCAGCACATACATAAATAAAACAATACCACACAAGTAAGCTATACAAAATCACTTAGCTTAGTATCTTGAAGCAGCCAGGTCGATGTATTCTCAGTAGGTTGACGAGACACTTAGGACAGTAGAATAAACACCCGCGCTAAATTCCAGGGGCCGTAACTAGAGGGTTTTTATATAGAACTGTGTGGGCAGTTCAGTACCCTGGGATTTTAGAGGAAACTGTGTTGCCAGTTCAGTCCTCTATGTGTTAACGATCCCACAGTGAAAATAAAGCGATTTTCAAGAGACTCTTTTGCTCAACACACCAGACACTGTCTGTCTTCTATCCGCGTTGGGCCCTTTCTCCATTGTCTCCACTACTTTTCTTGCGATATCCTCTCCTCTCAAAGCGTGGGTAATTTGTAACATCTTTGTCACCTGTTAAACACGACATTTTCCACTCCATCAGTTCTTCGGTTGATTTCTCCCGCTTTATCTAAAGGAAATATTAATATGCCTCTCCTATCTATACATCGATGGATGTTGTGTGACCAGTTTTCTAATCTGTTTCTAGCAACATGCCATTTACAGCCAAATTGGCGTCCCCAGTGATCTCTTGTGTTTTAGCTGGCAGTATTTTCAAGAGTTAATTACTACCTACCACTGGTGAGCTCGACTCATCATCACCATCATGTGTCCTGTCAACTGGCATAGGCGTTCATGCGTCTCCATAGATCACGATCACTGGTTGCCTGAAACAGCTCTCTCGATGACATCCCCCTATACCATCGTTGGGTGGGGTAACTGGAGGAGTAGCAAGGAGAAGAAACTATTGCCACTGCAGCTTTCAGATTCACAGATCTAACTCTTCTTTACAAACTGCTAATAAGGAACTGTGAATGCGATCAGTAGTTAAACATTATTTACATGTCTTCAACCACTGTATTTACTAGCTGCTGTTTTCTGCAGAATTTGACTTTAAATAATGCGTTTGCCAGTGTTTTATCTGGAGACAATTGAATCATTTCTCGCGCAACAAAAACGACGGTAGATATATCAAAGGCGAAATAAAACTGACTACACCTTGATGAGCTAAAGCCGGTTCTTTTCTGTTACTAAAGCCATTTGGTGTTGACCCCAAAACAGGTATAGTATTAGAAAGGATCCCAGAACAATTCGTATGGCCGTAATTCCCATTTGGTTCAAATCGATAAAACGTGGGCTGGATTTCGTATACGTCACCGGAAATGGGAAAAGGCAGCAAGGAATTTCCCAATAAGTAGGTGTGGTCCCACTGTATATAAATAGATTTGGAATCTGAAACATTTAAAAGTGACTCATATACATGCAGTCTTAACCAAATGGGGAGAACCCAGAAGATGAATAGATCTTTTTAAGACGCCAAATCCAGGTGTATAGGCGCACATACGCAAGGCAATCATGGCGCTGAGACAACTTAATGTACCTGTGCCCCCCCCCCCCCCACAACTTATTGTTCTATGGGACGGGGCTAACTTGGCTTAATCATTGTTTTCAGGGATAATGATGATATTAATTATTACTGTTGTTGTTGTTGTTATTATTATTATTATTATTATATACTGACTTGCAAGTTAAAAAAAAAACATACCTTTTTTGAAATAATATGACAGGCATAGAGAAACTACATGAGGCTAACACTTTGGTCCCATGTTGATACAGCCTAAATAGGTATCAGACAAAATCCTGGGAAGTAAAGGCTGTCGGCCTGATGTTAACTATAGCGTCCACCAAGTGTTGATTGATCAGTAAAACACAGGTCTAGCCCTATACACCCAAAGGCGGGGGAAAATGCTTTTTTTTTACGGTTACTTTGTAAACACAGGGAGTCGTCATGGCGTGGCGGCTAGACGCTCGCGTGCGTATCGGAAGGTCGTGGGTTCGCTCCCTGGAGTAGGCGGACTTTTTTCAAAAATGACCTTGACTCGCATGTTGACCCAGCCTTGAGTGGACACCGGGTGCACTCCCGGGAAGTAAAGGCGGCCAGCGTGATGCTGACATCACCCATCTTGTGCCAATTGGTCTATAAAAATATAGGTCTAGCCCTATATGCCCTATACACCTAAAGGCGTAGAAAAGGGACCTTTACTTACTTACTTTGTGAGCTTCTGTATGTGGCTAGGGATGACATTAAGCATCCTTGCAAACTGTCCAGCTGAAAGGACTCAGACCCAACACAATTTTTTTTTTGGGGGGGGAGGGGGGGGGAGAGACTCAGTCCCCACCCACAATAAGCTTTCCAGTCCCCAGTTAATGAACTTTTTTTCAAGATTCCCGACACTCCGTGTGTCTTGTTGTATGTGTGCCTGTGCGCTCGCGTGCGTGCGAGTGATTGCGCACGTATGTATCTGTCGCTCTGTACGTATCTGTAAGGGTTAAACACCATCTGAAAAACGGCTGCTATCCATAGGGTTGACACATACATGCCATTATCTCGGGGGGAAAGGGGGGGGGGGGGACAATTTGTGAGTCACAAACGGTCAGATAATTCCCATCATGCCTGTGACGTCATTATCTTCTTCTGCTCCCTTTATATCTGGAGTGGAATCACCTGACGAACTCTCCCACTACTGGAGGCGGACGCTTGTGGTCGATATTTTCCATTTGTATGTGGTGGGGAGCCGAAGTAGCGTAGCCACTAGATGTTCGCCTGTGGATCCGAAGGTCCTGGGAGTGAACCCGTATTCAGTCAAAGTTTTCTTTTCTTTAAAAAATGACCTTGGCTCTCAGGTCGCCCAGCCTAAAATGGGTAGCAGGTAAAGTCATGGGGGTACAGGGTGACTCACGGTCGTCGCCAGCTTATTCTCACAGAGGTCTCCGGTGATTATACGTCCCGTTTTATTGTTAAGGCGTACCCCATCAGTCTCGGCTGTTCTTGAAAAAAAAATCACGAATTATTCCCGCTAATTGTTTCGTTTTATTAAAAGCTAGGACTTAGCTCCTAGGGTAGGGGCCTATCCTACTACTAGGCGCGTCCACCAGGTGGCGGATGGTGGAAAGGCCTCTAGATATAGAGGTTAGCCACGAATATATTGAATAAGTGGCCGTGGACCAAAACAGTGAT